GCAGCGCTGTAGACCACAAAATGTTGCATCATATGACAGTCACAGCTATGCAATTACATCATCTTCCTTTCTCCTTCTGGCCATTCACTTCAGAGCTGTACAAACACGAAGTTTTTTCTTCTTTTATCCCAATATTTGAAAAAAATATCAGGCCTCATCTTGACCCATCTACATGGAGAAAAATGGGCAGGAATAGGAGGAAAATTTAAGGAGGGGGGAAAAAAGTTTTGCTCTCAAAACAAAACACATCATATCGGCCTCAGAGGCAATATTAACATTTGACATTAACAAAACCATCTCGTATTTCATACGCTTTGACATACAAGTTCTGTGAAAAATTCCTGTTGATTCAAAAAAAAACCCAAGACACTTTCAAAACAGCAGCAAATGAAGAATTTAATTTAAACTTTCCTTGGACAATGCTTTAAACAGAAATTTTACAGAACTTTTTAGACAAAACTTTGTGGTTTCTTTTCAATTCATAGGTACTAGAGGCGTAATGTGAAAGCAAAGTCACAAAAGAGTAAATAACAATAAAGAAGGGTTAATATAAAGTTAATAATTCAGAAAAATCCTACTAAAAAAAGTTCACAAACTTTTGGCAGAGAGTTAATTCGGAGGACTTTGTTCACTTTCTAAAACTGCTGTAATCTGTTTTAATGGTTTGATTTTTCAATAGTCCCTGCTCCCTTCAGTGTCCAATGAAGCCTAACAACAACCAGGAACCAATTTTAACAGCATGCTTGTTCTTCAGCTACATCTATAAACTCCTGGCGCAGAGACTGGTTTCAATTGCTTCTCTCCCCTCCACCTCCGTAAGGAAAATTAGGGACATATGCTCACTGAAATCAAACTGGAACAACCAATGTTATTTGAGGTACAAACCAAACCACAGATTAGCTGGATAAGTACAGAAATAAAGTGATATTTTGTGTACTTTGGGATGAATCTGGGGGGAACAGGGAAGCTGTATTTTGGGATCTGTTTTCAAAAGATCACTACCCCTATTCAACATTATTCCCCTCCCTTCATGACACACTAATTACATGGTTCACCCCACTCAAGAAAAATCCATCTTTAAGGCGTTCTGAATGTTACAACCAGCAGAGCTGGCTCTCTTTTACAGTTATTTGCACCCGAAACTGTAACAAAAGTATCCTCATCTTCAGAAATAATACAACTACCTCAAAACTAAGAGGCAGAGTATGCCTTCATCTTTTTTTAAAACATCTCTGAAAAACAACTCCAAATACTGTTCCTGTTGTTTGAAATATACTCTACATTACACACACAAGCAGCTATTTAAAATGTGTAATATGCTCAACATGTTCTTAGGAGCTCGGTAGGGTTCCTTCTCAGCCATTCTGCTGTCTTGAGCACACACACATTTCTATTTTGATTGCAGTATGCTTATAATGGAAATGTTCCTTTGAATCGGTTCCTTTGAACTAGTTCTGCTCTAGTAAGTATTATTCTTTTATTTTTTTTAAAAAAGTGAATGAAGCCTGTTATTGACCCAGAGGATGACAACTGTTCTCTTTAAATGCGCATTTAAGATTCACACTACAAAACCTATGAGCATTTACCCAAAGGTTTAACTAACACAGAACATTGAAACTCCATGATTCAGCCAACACTTCTGTTTTGAGGTTTTATTTGCCACTCTTTCTGATTCCTGACCTGCTAGTTGTTTTCCCTAGAAGTTCAGGCTCGCTGCTTTGTGTCTCCTGTCTCCTCCTTCAACACCTGTAATCACTACTCACACGCCACTTTATCTGTCCCTCCTCCCAGTGGGGACTTGGAGAGGGGCAGAAGAGCAGGAAAAATCCCCAAAAGTCTGTTTGGTTGTTTAAAGTGCCTGATTACACAAACCATTGTTTAAAGTTTTTCCAAGAAGCATTCAGGATTGACACGAAGTAATAAAGCCATGGGAAACCATCAAACAGAAGTAAGCTGGAACAAAACCAGAAGCAAACAGACCAGGTGGCAGAGGACAGTGTGTTAGTGAAGGTGGAGAAAGCATCAGGAGAATATGCAGAAGACGCATGTGCTTTGCTCAGAGGTGGAAACAAAACTAAGCAAAGCAATTATTTTAGGAAGAATGACTGGAAAAGGAGGTCGTAAAGCAGAGGATAAACTGTGCTGATCACGGGCCTAAACAACTAGATTAGGAGTAAGCAAACGATAATTGATTAACCAGTTGCTAATTAGGTGGTGTAGCAATAGAGCAATGAATTATAGTCAATTAAGTGTAAAAATCAAATAAGCAATAAGTTAATGAACTATGCAGAGAATCAATGATTAATTAGTGAATAATTAATTATGTAGGAAATCAACAGAGCAATTAATTAGACAGCAATTAAATATGCAGAGAAAGAAAGGAACAGTAATCAAGTATGCAGGTAAACAAACAACAGGAATTTCGGCCAAAACCAATTTGGAACCTTCCAGTCACTGAACATGCTTTGTGTTAATTCGTTATCTTCAGTTTGCCCATATAAACTGTGTTGAGTGTACATTGAAATAAATAATACCAGTTATTTTCTTCTAAAATGGAGAAGTGGCAAATTAAGCTATAACGTAACTGAAGCTGTTTCTATTTTTTTTTCAATTCTTCCAAAGATCTCAGCGTATTTCTTAATTAGTCAATTTTTTTTCTTTATACCAAGCATGTATACAGCAAAGGGAGATTAACAAATGGATTACTAAAGACAAATAGAAAATTGCAGACCAGGAAGCAGGTTCCCTTATTCCCAATCCCTTTCACAAAGCATAAAACAGTACCTGTTCTGTTTCGCTTTAAAGTTGGAGTGGGGAGGAGAGAAAGGGGGAGAAAGAAGTGCTTATATTAGAAAAATCACTGAAAATAATAGTATTTAAGGGAATCAGGTAATATATTATTGTCATATATACTTCCGATCATTGTATGACAGAACCTAGTCCGGAGTTAATTTTAACTAATCAAAAACTTTAATTTTGCATAAAAGGTAGGCTAGGGGTTGGGTATTGTTTTGTTTTATTTTTAAATAACTATTTTGGTTTGTTTTGTTTTTAAATAACTATTAATAAGAAACACAAAGCAAGGAAACAAATCTGTATTTATATGCCATAAATCATTCTAATGTACCCAAAACTTTTCACCACTCTTTTCAATGCAGGCAATAGTTAAAACTTTTGTAATAGCCTTTGAAGTTCTGCAACTGTTAAAAGGAACTAGAACTCTGTAGTTAAATATAAAAATAAAAATCCACCAGATATCTATTGGCCTGTGGAATAACAGAGTTGATAGTACGCATACTTATGCACCTGGTCAACCTTCCTACAATGCACAGCAATAAAGTTCAGAACATGAATAACTACTTATGTCCTTCTAAACTTACCACAGAGCTGAAACAAACCTTGCTGCCTCATCACCATCAAATCCTTAACAACGAGAACTTTCTGCAATTAAAAATCTCATACGTCATTCTTAGACTAGGACTTTATCTTGTTGGTTTTTTTCCTTAGTGTTTTTTTTTTTAATGACAATTAGGTATTTGTGATTTTATTACACACAATTAGTAATGCTAATGGTGAAAGTGAAAAAAAAGAATAAAGTATATTAAATCTAAAAGATTTCCTCCATCTTCAGCATATGTAATATAATATTTATTCTCAGTTTAGTAACTCTTCTATCACTTAAGTTATACTAGTGTTTGTTTCCAATTCTTTTTTTTTTCCCCACTTTCTATCATGCATTTTTAACATTTCTCTCTCCTTGTCCTGCATCTCATACGCCATGCTCTCTACCAGACTCTCTCTTCTCTCTTCTGTTCCTTACTACGCACTTCCAAGCTTTCAAATAACTACTCATGTTAACTGGTACTTCTGTTTCCAACCTCCCTTCTTCTTGCAGCTACAAGGACTTTACCCCTCTCTGACGAGGCCTGGTTGGAATCCAACAGTACTCGTTCTTAGCTTAAAATCTTAAAGGCAAACATAGCTTCCAGGTTTCGCAAGATTTAGACACGTCAGATCTGAAGCTACCACAGTCTTCATTGGGCATACTAGACCGAAAGGCTACCACACACTGTCTTACTGAATCCTGCCAGAAGATTCAAGTATTCTTAAGTCAGATTAAGTAAGAAACTGTATCTTTATTTCCAGGGT